GGGTGGACTTCAGGCCCAGGGCAGAGGCGAAGCTGCCCAGACCGCTGCGGGGGCGCTTCTTCTGCTCCTCGGCCAACTCCTTCTCGAAGCGCTCGCGCATGGCCTTCTCACGCTTGGCGAATTCCACAGGGATCTGGGTGCCCTCGAAGGACTTGATGACTGGACGAACGTCTTCGACGCCCATACCGGCGAGGTATTCGAGGAAGGGGATCATGCCGACGAGGGTCTTGTCCTTGGAGTCACCAAGCCACTTTTCAAGGATGACGGCGTTTTCGGGCTGCAGGCGGGCGTGCTCCTCCTTGGTGTCGATCAAGATCACCTTGGACAGATCACGGTTGAGGTAGGACAGGTCCTAGTTGTCTGGGTTAGTCATAACTGGGAGCTAGGTACAGCCAACAGTGACATACCTTGATGTACTCTCCATCCTTGTACTTGGTGGCTTCACGGAACAGGGGCCAGCGGATAATGCGGTAGGGGTCAAGCTTCCGCAGCACCTGATCGGCCATCATGCTGGGCACGCTGGTGAAGAGGACGAGTTCGTAGTACTGGTTGAGATAGCGGAGGAAGTAGTCGACACCAGGACGCTTGGCCACACGCCATCCATGCTCACGGCTCCACTCGCTGTGCACCAGGAGGTCCTCCAGACTCAGCACAAGGGTGTAAGGCTGACGCATGTTGGGATCCTCATCGGGCAGCAGCTTGGGGAAAGCAGGGTCCTTGTAGTAGCTGGTGATATCGCCCAAGCGGGCCTTGGCACGGTTGTACATGAGTCCGAAGCCCCAACCCGATGGCACATCGGGGTGGGCCTTCTCTTCCTCCTCGGTCTCCCAGTTGCGGCCCAGATAGGCCACACCACCAGCACCTGCCAGCAGGAACAGGACATACATCAGGTTGGCCATGCGAGCGCGCTTGCGATCGAGGGAGGATTCGTAGTTGGGAATGTCACGGCCACCATCATCGTAATCTTCCGCACGCGACGGATCCTCTGTGAGGTTCAGCTTGCTTGGTCCACGGTTCTTCGAGGCGGCTTCCAATTCTGCGGCAAGGGTGGAGGGAATGCCCTGGGTGAGATCGGGCAGGGGTTTTTGAGGAGCATCATTCTGGGGAGCTGTAGAGCCAGTCTCAGACTGGGAAGAAGAAGTGTCAGAAGGTGTGTTGAGATTATCAGCGTCGTCATCAAACTCACGGCTTCGGTGGCCGGTTTAGCCTTGGTATCGAATTCGGCCTGCTCCGCGGAGTAGTCGTTCTGAGAGGGAGCCTTGGGCGGCTGTTCCGACTTGGCAGACTTGACGGATTGAGGAAGCTTGTAGGGAGTCTTAGGCTTGGTGGACTTCGCATACCAACGCGAGTGGGCGACGGAGATAGTTGAAGCTCGAACGGTCGAGGTGAGGACGTTCGGCCTCGTCAGAGGTAGTACGGCACGACTAAGCATTATGAAAGTGAAAAGGGCATCTATAGATGAGCGGGAGAAGATGAGAAATACACGCGCCGGAATAAAATCACCACCGACACCAAGGGAGGTCAAAAGAGCACGGTTGGGGTGAAGTGAAGAACAATCAAGAAACAAGAAGCAAGTGGATGATCGGGGCCCAGCAATGCCGGCGGTCTTCGGCGGAAACAGAAAAGTTCACGCACTGACCGTCGGGCGGGGTCACGCAGACCAACAGTGCAGTACTGGAAATTAGTTTAAATACCGGCGCGGAGATGCCTTCCTTTCCTTCCCTTCTTCTTTTTTCTCACAATTTGAAATTTGAAACCCAGCTCATAAATTTGACTCATCAGGCCTTTCTCCTCCATGCGTGCCGGGTTGAATTAGGCTGGGGAGACCAATATTCCCACATCCAAGAGCCGCAGCGAAGGGACCCCATGCAGCTGCAGCCCCGTTGGTGGGATATATCCTTCTTGTCCGTCCTTCATTAAGTATTAGTGATGGATGTTATATCGTGTCGTATATGTCGTTAATCTTCGACTTTCAGCTCAATGCAACAATGGGATGATTCAGAAAAGAAAAGAACAGAAAAGTTTTCAATCATCCGAGAAGTTCACTCTCTAAAAGATCCTCATTCGTATCGTGGCGTATATCTCTTCTCTTCAATCTAGATCCGTTTGAGCGCAGTTTTTTTTCCTTCCTCTCTTGCCTCTTCAACCCACCACCTTCTACACACAAAAATGACCAACATGAACTCCCTCTCCCAAGCACTGGAAAAAGTCCATTTGGACAACAAATCCACCACTGGCAAAACCGTTAAAGGCAAGCCCATCAAGAAACAACGTACGAAGAAAGCCCCCATCGAACCCTTCCGCTTCTTCGACCTCCCCTCCGAAATCCGTCTACGCGTCTATCACTTCGTGCTCTTCACCCCGAAACGCGGACGCAACCCGCGCCTAACAGGCAGCGTGGGCGCCTCGTCGAAGAAAAACCCTCCCATCTCCCCCACCTCCCACCGAGTCGCGCTATTCCTGACCTCCCGGCGCATGCACGATGAAGCCTCAGACTATTTCTACTCCACCCAAGTATTCCGTCTCTTCCATCTCCAGGACTACTCGCGTATGCCTACCATCCGGGCCATCCCCCCGCGGTACCGTCCCTCCATCGCCACAGTCGAGTTGATCCTAGGGTCGAGCTGGACAGCGCCACCGCGCGAATGGACCATCACACGCAGTCTGGGACTGGAGGAGATGGAGCGGATGCGCACGTTCAAAGTCTTTGTCGAAGTCGATCCATCGCATCCGGTGTTCGAGGGGTTTCGCATCTCAAAGGACTATTATACGGATTTTGCGGGCGATCTGCTCAAGGGTGTCCTGGAGAGGTTACCGAATCTGGAATACGTGGAGTTTGATGGCTGGCCATCTGTACGGAAGAGCGGTGCTCTGATGAAGAGATTGATGCATGAGGTCAGGTCGGCTGGGATAAAGATTGCGTGGGGTCCCGAACGGGGGTGGACGGATTATGATGGGGAGGAGTTCAGTGAAGATGCGTATGGGGTTATCGCGCATGAGAAGAAAATGCAGGAAAAGGCTCGTCGGAAGAAGGAGTTAGAGGAGGCGCAGGAATTCGCCAGGTTGCATGGCCTGCCGCCGCCGCCACTTCCGTTGTTCAATCCGTACCTCGATTATTGAGATGTGATCATGATGTGATGGGTTTGGGTCTTCATTTGGCATGATATGATATTGCGGCCTTGCGGGAGTTTAGATCGGTTGCTTCTATTAGGATTGCTTATATTAGATGCACATATACTTATATATATAGATTTTTTAGACAATAAAGTGCACACTTTTTGTTATTTGGTTCAAATCACTTGGTGTTGTCACTACTGGTGATTATATACCGGGTTGATACATATAACGTCATTCATTGATGTGTCTGCCAAGACCAGATGACCGTCCTGTACATGAAACCTGAGTTCAGGGAGTCTGAAATGGCATTAGGAAATATATGTTATGGTATGGCTGCTCTATAGTTCCTCATCAACCTCCATGCCGGTGCCATTCTCCTTGCCGTTTGATTGCCGTGCCACCGAGGCCTCCTTGTCAATCATCTGCCGCGAGACGGCTACGATGTTGTCCTCAATCAACTGCTGGCTCACATCTTCGATGTCTGCAGAGAATCCGATCAGTAACAAAATCACACATCGTGCAAGCGATGAACTTACGCTTCTTGGGGTCGACCTTGCCGACGTATCTCGTCTTAAGCTGGTCCTTGGTGAGCGTGGTCTCCTCCTTGACCCGCTTCTCGTAGCCCTCGGCGAGGCTGACGAGCTGCTTCATGCGCTCGACATTGTGCTCGCCCTCCTCGTGGAAGTCCTTCATCTGCAGCGCCTCCGTCCAGACGTGCTTGTGCAGGTTCATCAGCATGTTCTCCTCGAGACCGGTCTTGCGGTAGTCGATGGCAATACTGTAGTAGTGGCGGTTGAGACCGTGGATGAGGGCCTGAATGGACGGCTTGTTCAGATGACCCAAGTTGGATGTTGTTTGGCGGGGCTCCTGGCCCATGACGACGGTCTGTGGTTGGATGAGACGGAAGGCATCAATGACGACCTTGCCCTTGACGGACTGGATGGGGTCGACGACCACGGCAACGGCGCGGGGAGTGAGCTGTTCAAAGGATTGCTGAGTGTTGATATCGACGGAGGAAAGCCAGCAGCCGAAACCAGGATGCGAGTGGTACCAGCCAACAACGGTTTCTGGTCTATAGCATGATGCGTTAGGATGAGCCGGGTAGTTCGTGAGAGATACTTTTGGAGCTTACCGTCCAGTTTGCCTCAGCATGTCCATCATCTTCGTTTGGAAAACAGGGTCCACGGCTTCGACACTGACACCAGTACCACTTTGAGGCATGGCGAATACGTCAACTACCCGAACTGTGTACTCGTCCACGAACTCTCCCAGCATCAGACCCATGACCTCCATAGGCACACCAGCCCGACCGTGTCTTAGCATCTTCAGCAGAGCGAGCGATGAGATGTGGACGGTTTCGGAGTTATCGATGAGGTTGGGGATATCCTGTACCTGCATTAGCCCATAGCCCCAAACCCTCTGGAGATACGAGTGCCATGTCCGCTGCTCGCCTAAGTGTTACTCACTCCATTATTCCCTCCAACGCCCATGCCCTGGGCTGCTTGGAGCATGCGATGCAAACGATCCATAGTGGAGACGGGGGGTTGGTTGAGTGTTAGTTATGTAGATGAGACCAGGATGACTTCCTACGCGGAAGCTCCAATCGGAAGGTTGAGTGGGGGTATCAGAGCAAATTCGGTGATTGGAAAAGCTCAGATGTTGTATAGGCAAAGGGGATGCTCGAGCCGGTTCCGATGGAACAGTAAGCGAGGTTAGACAAAAGCTGAAGATGGGAAGCAGGTGGTGATGGAGGCGCAACTGGGGCGTGTGTAAGTAGTGACGGTCGAGCTTCCCAAGAAGCCTGACGAAGGCGGTGGAGCAGCTTGGGGTTCCGCCTTTGCGTCTCCCTTCGCTTCCTTTCGGTCCCCATCACTTATTGTCCGCCCCCGGCCATTGCGAATGTACTCCATTAGTGCCACTCTGTGAGAGTTATTCGACTGACTCACGTATAGGGCACTTTATCTGTCCTATTCATTATACTTCTTGTCTACCTGAGGGTCATCTGCCTGTTTTCTCTCCATCTGACGCTCTCATACACCCCCCGAGAATTCACCGCGCTCAAGCGACATTCCTACGCATTGGTCTGAGTGAGGAATCGCCGTGTGCTTCGCACAGTGACCTTCGACATGAGTAACTCACTCGCGCCTCTGGACCCCATTACCAATGGGTCGGCGGATCGCAATAAGAAAGTCGCCTATTTCTACGATTCCGATGTGGGAAACTATGCCTATGTCTCGGGACATCCGATGAAGCCTCATCGCATAAGGATGGCTCACAGTTTGGTCATGAACTATGGCCTTTATAAAAAAATGGAGATATACGTGAGTGATTATGGATGATCATTATTGGATCTGTTACAGGATCTCTGCAACGTCTATTGAAAGTAGCGCTGACGCAGTCTACAGCGGGCGAAGCCGGCCTCGAAATACGAAATGACCCAGTTCCACACGGATGAGTACATCGACTTCCTTTCGAAGGTTACACCAGACAACATGGACTCCTTCGCGAAGGAGCAGAGCAAGTACAATGTCGGAGACGATTGTCCCGTTTTCGATGGACTCTTCGAGTTTTGCGGTATCAGCGCGGGTGGTAGTATGGAGGGTGCCGCTCGGCTCAACCGCAACAAGTGCGACATTGCCGTTAACTGGGCCGGTGGTCTTCACCACGCGAAGAAAAGTGAAGCAAGTGGTTTCTGTTATGTAAATGGTAAGTTTTGCGATACCCTATGCTGGGCCTTCGCTGACGCAACACAGACATCGTTCTGGGTATCCTGGAGCTGCTGCGATTCAAGCAGCGCGTGCTTTACGTTGATATTGATGTCCACCACGGAGATGGTGTTGAGGAGGCATTCTACACGACCGACCGTGTGATGACGGTGTCCTTCCACAAGTACGGCGAGTACTTCCCAGGTACGGGTGAGCTGCGCGATATCGGAGTGGGTCAGGGCAAGCACTATGCCGTCAACTTCCCTCTCCGCGATGGCATTGATGACATCTCCTACAAGAGCATCTTTGAGCCCGTTATTAAGAGCGTTATGGAATGGTACCGACCCGAAGCTGTGGTTTTGCAGTGTGGTGGCGACAGTCTTTCGGGCGACCGTCTTGGATGCTTCAACCTCAGTATGCGGGGCCACGCGAACTGTGTGAACTTTGTGAAGAGCTTTAACCTGCCCACGATGATTCTTGGCGGTGGTGGTTATACGATGCGAAATGTGGCACGTACTTGGGCCTTCGAAACCGGTATTCTCGTTGGTGACACCCTTGGGGCGGAGCTTCCCTACAACGATTACTACGAGGTAGGTTCTTGTTTCTAGATTATGACTATACACAGCTAACATACTTAGTACTTCGCACCCGACTACGAGCTGGATGTACGCCCGTCCAACATGGACAATGCCAACACGAAGGAATACCTCGATAAGATCCGCACACAGGTTGTGGAAAACCTTAAGCGGACCGCCTTTGCGCCCTCCGTGCAGATGACCGAGGTGCCTCGAGAGCCTCTCGTGGAGGGCATGGACGACGAGGCAGATGCCATCTTGGACGATCTAGACGAGGACGAGAACAAGGACAAGCGCTTCACCAAGCGGCGCTTCGATCAGTACATTGAGAAGCCTGGAGAGCTTAGCGACAGTGATGACGAGGAGCTGGCTGGGGCCAACGGTGTCCGGCGGCAACCCAACGCGCTTAAGCGGAGGAACCAGGTCAACTATCGGAATCTCGATGTGAACGACTCGGGGCTGGAGAGCGGCATGGCCACGCCACAGGACGCATCCTCCCTTCCTGACGATGACATGGATACGACTGCTGATGCGAAGATGACTGAGGCTCCGGAGCCGGAGACTGAGGCGCAAGCCACCCCCTCTGCGGCCGATGCGCCGTCCCGAGCAGATGAGGCCTCCGCGACAGAGCAGACAGAGATGGCAGTGGATGGGCCAGAAACGACGGCGGCATCGGCGCCGATCTCCCGGCAACCGTCTCCCAAGCCTCAGGACGAAGACACCACGATGGTAGATGCGGGCGAGGCCGCACCGGAAACCGAGAAATCCGAAGCTGCGCCTGAAGGCGCGGCTGAAGAGGAAGAGAAGAAGCCCAGCGAGGAGACCCCTGCGGCTGACAAGCCCGCTACGGAAGAAACACCTGCCGCAAAAGAAGAGTCACCTGCGAAAGAGACAACTGAGGCAGCCGATACGGCAGAGGCGGAGACCAAGCCTGCGGAGGCCAGTGAGCCGAGCGAGGTCAAGGACAAGACACCAGAGGCAGCCAAGGACGAGTCAGGTGAGGCTAAATCAAAGGAGCCCAGCGCGGAAGCCGCAGGAGCAACAGAAGCCGAGAAGACCGAGGAAGCAAGCAAGACCGAGGAGTGAAGCTGAGCGAGCAAGATGGGAACAAACGAACGACTGGCGCAAAGGCACGGGCGGATGGTGTTTGGGAACGAATTGATTTCTTACCATATTATTATTACATATTTGAGAGCATGAATGCCTAGTATTTTTAGAGCAGATTCAATAACGTGTATTTACCAATGTATTCCATATCAAGAAAACTACTGCAACTGTCACTCCAGATAAGAAGTACGATAGCTGGTTATCAAAGATAGCTAGTTTAGTCTAGACATCCTGACTCATCTCTGACTAACCCACCCTAGCTATATCGAGACTAGCTCTAGGGCAACCCTCTATCCGCATAAACCAACCAATGGGAGGGCACTGCCAAGATTTTACCCACGACGCACACTAAGCGAGAAGCAAATCGAAACCCGCGACCAAGTCTCTGAATCCGACGACACCCCCCGTTTCGACCGTCCGTCCGTCCCCCTTCCCTTGTCGCCCAGTTTTAATCCGACAACCCTAGATACACAGCCAAGATGTCTGCGAGAGGGTGAGTTATTCTTTTTCGTTGCTGGGAGATGTGTGGGAAAGAGAGACAGAGAGAGAGAGAGGAAGGAATCCGGACCGGAGATATTGAAAAGCTGCGGGAATGAGATGAGATGAGGAGGAGATAGGGATGGGATGAAGTGCTGGCTGGAGATTTCGACTCGAAATTACACGGTCGGATCATGTTCGATATGCGACACATACGACATTGAAAAGAGGCGGAATTAATGAATGAATGAAAGTCCGGGAAAGAGCTGGAATACATCGATGCATATGGGGGGATTTGATATACATGGGATACAAGGGGAATGATGAAAGCTAACAAAATATCTTCAACAGACGCGGTGGTGCCTCCGGCAACAAGCTCAAGATGACCCTCGGTCTGCCTTGGTATGTCAACTCCAAATTTCTTTCCGTTCCAATCAATACACGCCCCCATCTTCGAGAGAAATATGCGATTCGATACCAAATCAATCAATCAATCTCAGCAACAATCATTTGATTCGAAACTCGAACAATACACACACAAAACCCATTCGATATCCCACTCTCTCAACACCATGATATCAAACCTACACAACCCGACACGAAACACAAATGAAAGAAGAATGAACACAGCTAATTTCTGCCTTACAGCGGCGCCGTTCTCAACTGCTGCGACAACTCCGGTGCTCGCAACCTGTACATCATCTCCGTCAAGGGTATCGGTGCTCGCCTGAACCGTCTCCCCGCTGCCGGTGTCGGTGACATGGTCATGGCCACCGTCAAGAAGGGAAAGCCTGAGCTCCGTAAGAAGGTCATGCCCGCTGTTGTTGTCCGTCAGAGCAAGCCCTGGAGACGCCCCGACGGTATCTACCTCTACTTCGAGGACAACGCTGGTGTTGTACGTACCCTTGTCCCATATTTCCGCCATGTGGTGAAGGATTGTGGCATATGGATACTAATGGTTCAATTTAGATCGTCAACGCCAAGGGTGAGATGAAGGGTTCCGCTATCACCGGTCCCGTTGGTAAGGAGGCTGCTGAGCTTTGGCCTGTAAGTTGCCTCCAATCTATATTCCCATGGGGAATGTATTCATATACTAATACTGTGTTTAGCGTATTGCCTCCAACTCCGGTGTTGTCATGTAAAATGTGTTAAACCTGGAATTTGGAGCAAGAAAAAAAAAGCGATACCAAGGGCTTCTAGAACAAAGGGGGTGGTACCGGTTTTTTTTTTTAGTATGACCTAAGAACATTCTAAAAATGAAAAGGATTCATAAAAAATTTAAACCTGTCCACCTTTTTCTCTCTTATTTGATTCATGATGTAATTGTAGATTGTATGTCTTTATGATATGAATTGATTGATTGATTGGTTGATCGGATGATCTATACTATAGGTTCAGTGTTACTATAAACTAGTATGTATGTAAGTTATTGCTTTTTGATCTTCTTATCATCCGCCCTGGTATCCTTCCCAGCAGAGACACCAGCACCAGTTCCAATGATACTCGATCCGATATACAGTGCCACCAATGCCAAAGTAATCACATCGATTACATGCACCGCCCACCAAAGATGCTGCACGCCTGCGGCGCACATCTGGATCTCGTACTTCCACTCCGTACCGGTGAACCACACCGACAGAAGTCCGGCGTAGCCTCCGTATTCTCCCATCATGGAACGCATAGTCACTTCCCGGATGGCGGGGACGCCTAGGTCCCCTTCTCTCGTGATGCCGTGCTGATAGCGCAGGGCATCCCATTCCCAGCCAGGTGCATCACCATCCTCTTCATCATTATCACCATCTACCTCAGCAACAGTGCGATTCACAAAATGCACCACGTCACAGCCCGTATGATCATGGCCCGTAAGAATAAGGCCCTTCCTCCCCCACCCATTTCCGGGGACGGTGTCGTCCCCACTCATCCCGAAAATGCCCTCGAGGACGGCATTAGCGCTGGCGTACTGGCTCAGGTGGTTCTGTTCTTTGAGGCCGCCGGCGTAGAAACGCGGGTTGCCGGCAGCGTCGCCCTTGGAGTCGTCGTCATCGTGGAAGGCGAAGAAGGGGGCGTCGGTGCAGATTCCTTCTTTCTTGTGGAGGGGGAGGTGCGTTAGGAGGAGAGTGAAGGTTTGCCCGCGCGGAGATGAAGTGACGGATGGGCTTCGCTCTTCTAGTAGACTGTTTAGGTATTCGTATGTGGCTGATTGGACTTCAGAGCTCAGGGCGGGGGTATCTAGAACGAGGCTGTTCAGGTTGACGAGGTGGATTGTTGGAACTGTTTCCTCTCCCTCTTTGCCTTTTTCATAAGAAGGTAAGGTGAATTTGACATCCCAATCTCCCCTTCCAAACACCCTCTCGAACCTTTCAATTCTTGAGGGACTCGCATCCCCCGCATACCCGACATCGTGGTTCCCCACGACGTTCACAACCCTCCTCTGCCACTCCCCATTATCAGTTCCCAGCACCTCCGTCCCCATTTCCCCGGTAATCTCATCATCCACCCGCACACCACCACGGAACACCCGTTCCCAGTATCTCCGACCACGTTCGTCAAATTCCCCGTCACTCACCCATTGGCTCCCCACGAGATCTCCCAGCACGGTGACATGCGACGGTGCACTCCACCAGTGCATCGTGCGGTAGATATGCGCCAGGTAGTAGTCATTTCCGAGAAGGTCAAGGCGTTTGCGCGCGGCGCGAAATGCGCGGGGGAGGTCGGTAGAAACGAGGGAGCGGAGGACGGAGCGGAGGGTGTATAGGGCGGCGGATGGTGGTTTTGTGCGGAGTGTAGAGGACAGGTCGGCGTAGTAGTTGGAGAGTTTGGCGGGGAGTTGATCGTGGGGTTTGGGGAGGGAGGTGTCGCCTTCTAGTTGGGGGTCGGCGAGAACGAGGAGGCGGAAGATGGGTGAGGTCGCAGATGAAGGAGGAGACGGGGAGAGGTGGTGGCGGAGGGTGGAGAGGAAGGATGGTGAGAGGTGTGGAATCGAGAGATGAGAGGAAGTAGGGTCCTCTGGCAGAGGGAATGCGCAGCCATGGAAGACGGGGTAAAGATAAAGATAGACAGTGCTGGTCAGGGCCAGCGGGAGAAGGATGGCCAGCGCGTGGCGGAGGAGAAAACGGAGGAGGGACATGGGGAGAACCGCATCGATGAAGAAAAGGAGTGACTGGAATAGGGATAAAAGAAAGAAAGAATAGAATAGAATAGAAAGAAACCAAGGAGAGTAAACGGGGTTGAACGCGCTCAATCAAGCCATCATCGTGTGGATTGTAAGAAGTAGAAGAAGAAGCGAGGATGAAACGGCGGTGATCAGTGACGCGGCCCGCCGATCCCCGTCGCTTATACTGCTTAGAGAATATAATGATAAAGACTTCACATTCAACATTCACATCCATATTACATCCTACATAGTAGACAGACAGACAAATAGGTAGACTCATTCACATATGAAAACATTCAAGCGGGGTATATCACATAAAACGCCAACCAGGCTGCGGTAAAAAGCAATACATCACACATATAAGCAAATCAATCAATCAATCAATCAATCCTCCATGAATTACTGCGAGTTCCGCTGCGACCCAGGAACTGACACCTCGTCCATCGCGACCGGACTCGCCGATCGATGCTCCTCCGCGTCCACATATACCGGCTCTGTCTCCGGATCCATGGACACGCCCTGGATTAACAGCCCTTGGCGGTCTTGCTCCAGATCCGTCAAGCCGTCCTGTGCCTCCGTCTCTGTCTCTGGAGGAGCCACATCCGCTGTATTAGGCGACCCAGTCATTAGCGCTGGAGGACGCTGGTTCATCAGCCGCGCCTCCTTGAGACTGATCGTACGCTGCTTGTTCGTTGTCTCCACCGGCAGCGCCATGTCCCGCTCAATCGTCGCCTTCATCAACGCCGCCATCCACAGTCGACCCTCCTGCACGTTGTCCACTTGGAAGTAATGGATCGCTGGCTTAGTAAACTGAACAGTCCGTGATGTCCCTGACTTTGGCGGCACGAGCTTGAAGAAGAACGGCCCTTCACCGGCTCCCTTGGTCGCCCGAAGGGCCTCTGCTGCAGCCTTATCGGACGAAGCTCCATCCCCCTGGCTCAATTGACTGGCCGGAGTCGGCGATGCGGTCGATCCCGTGATGGTGGCATGGAGGGCCACAATGGGATCATTGTCTGCGCGCAACACTCGATGAGCAGTAATGTCAATTAAGCCACGCTCCTCCGTGTCCTGTTCCGAATAGTAGTACGACAGACGCCGCCCCCGCAGGACAAACAGACGGGGTTTCCACGTCGTCATCAGGTTGGAAGACCGCTTCTTCATCCACCCGAAGTAATCGCATCCCACCATCTGCTCCTGTGGCGACTTCTTCTCCAGCCCGCGGATATACGCGCTCGTGTCTTTCTTGGACTTGACACCCGCCTTGACGGACGGCCGGGATCGAGGCCACAGGCCACCCTCGGCGGTCTTATTTGACCCATCGGTGCTGTGTCGCTCCGAGCTCTTGGACGTCGAAGGGGTGGTCGACCCGGTCCGCGCCGACGGATCATTGTCCCGAACGGGAGAGGCCGGCGGCGGCGTTGACGTATCGATTCCCTTCGGCGCCACGTCAGACGAAGCACGAATTCCCATGGCACGCCGGAATTTCGGTCCCGCACCCTTGAGCTGAGGCAAGGGTACCCCGGACGAGCGCGAGGAGTCGCTGTCGGACTTGCCAAACAGCGGACCAAACAAGCCTAACGCACCGCTGGGCCGATCCTCCACTGCGGAAGCGGGCGCTGACTGCTGTCCTCGGCGGTCAACGATGCGAGTGCTCAGACTGCGAAGACGGCCCTTGGGCACCGGGCTGGTGTGCGATTTGGCCGGAGGGTTCATCTGCTTGACAGACTCCCGAATCGAGTCCATGCTGCCGATGCGGGAATGGCGCTTGCCAACGCGGAGCTGGTCATTCGCCATGTTGGATGCCCGAGAGTCCGCACTGCCCGCAGCAGATTGACGTTTCTGTAGGCGCCGGTTTTTGCGCATGTCTCCCTCGGGCCCCGAGAAGTAGCCCCGATCCAATTCGTCGGTGACGGAGACAGCTGGATCAGACCCATTCGAGTTGGAGGGGCGGTGACTCAACTGGGAAAAGAAACCCATGTCCTGCGGGTGAGACGTGCCGGCTGCAGTTCCAGGGCGAGGAGGCAGCCGCTGAGCGCCGCTGGCCAAAGTCCAGCCGCGATCGAACGAACTGCGCTTGCCGATGCCTGGCGACCCTTCTAGAGCACCCGAGTACCGGTTCGTCGTGTCGATGGACGAGTGGCGTCGAGAGTGGTTGATTTCGCGGATGGAAGCAGCCGACGGTCGGCGAGAATGGCTCACGTAGTTGGGTGTCTGCGGCGTGATCGGCGAGCTGGTGTTGCTCTGCATACTGCTGCTGACCAGGCGGGGGTGCTGGGTGCCGCTCGACCCTCGCAGCGTCGGGATCCTGGGCAGGAGCGGGCCGGTATGGCTGGCGCGACTGAGTGTCCGTTCCTCTGGAGGAGCGGGAACAGCAGCCACTGAACCGCGAGGGTGGTGTTGAGACGAGGAGTTGACGCCCTTAATTTCGTCCTGGAATGCTCGGATTTTGTGCCAGGTCTTCAGACGCCGCCCCATGACGCCAAAATCAAACTCCTTCATGAAGATGAAGTCCTGGTTCATGTCCAGTAACACATCGCCCGTGATCTCCTGATCCTCAAAGATGCCGCAGTGCTTGTCCTCGATACCCCATTGCCGCAACTGCTTGGCCGTTTCTGCAGGCGTCCACTGCCGGACCTGCTCTTCACGCGGCTGGTTCTCTTCTTCCTCATCGGTTTCGTGCCCATTGATGTAAGACATCCGGTGCTCGAAGTGGCTACTGTACTCGCTGGCCGAGTCGTTCATGTGCTTGGATTCCTGACCAGCCACACTATGGCGCGGCGTGCTCAGATCGGTGATGTGCTCGTCGATCACGCTAAGCGTCTCGTTCATGACGGGGCTGTCCTGGCCATTGGCATGGTGGCCGTCCATGGTCTGACGAATTGACTGTTGGATATCGATGCTCATAGTGGAGGTTGGTAGAGGAGAGGAACTGGAGCGGTTCTGCTGTTTCGGAGAAAGCGCTGGGGCAACGGGACCCCCTTGCAATTCTGGAGCCCGCAGGTCCGAGGCACTGGTATGGCGAGAAACATGCGGGGTGGACTCGCCGCTCTGGGGAA